ACACCATGCATTTATTTGCCTGTGAGTGCTATGATATTGTCAGTGTGGCCATAGACTGGGAACAGTAAGAAGTCTCCTCATGTGATTATTCTCTGTGCTTACAACTTGATTACAGAGATAGACTCTATCCAGTGCCTGCTTGAGGAGCTACAGCTCTGTTCCTGGACAGAGGGCTGCACACAGACAATATTGAGGCTATAGGAGGAATAGCAACCTTATTCTCCTTTCACAGGAATACTCACTTGCCATATCCACAGTAGAGCACACCTCACGCACATCAGACAGGCAAATGTGTGTGTCAGGAGCCATGTCTGAGTCAGAGAATCCAGCATTGTGAGAAACAGACCGATTCTAAAGCACTGGTGTGTTCATCTGTCTCCCTTCTTCATTCTCAGGCAGCTGCTCCATCCGGAACACAGAGGCATGTGAAGAACTAAATATTAAACATGGAATAATTGAACACCATGTTTTTATGGTGAGTCTTGAATGATTATGTGAGTGAGAAGTCAGAAAACCCAGAGAGGCTGTCTTTTCAAAGAGGGGGAACCAAAATATCCACATCTGACTAGGACAGAGCCTGGCTGCCATGGGGTTAGGTTGACATAGAGAGGGTTATGAAAAGTAGCCAGTGCTCAGTGCAAGAGCTGCAGAACACACACCAGGATAGTGAATCTAATCTGCCCATATGGGACAGTCATGGTAGACAATGCACATGGAAGGCCTTACAAAATCATGGTTCCAACCCAGTGCAATTCTGCTCCAGTTTACTTCCAGACAAACAGTGGATAAAGGGTGCCAAGACATGCTGGTTCACAGAGGTCAAGGGCCCTCTCTACCTTATTCTCTCCATATTATATGATTGGGATCATTGGTGTAGTTACATTTTGGGCTGTGAAATCTTAGCCAACAAGCCCAGAACAATTTTGGAAAAATTAATGCATCTCATTCAGGTCTCTCCACCTAGGAGAGAATGGGTACTTTTGGAGGTTGGAGGAAAGCCATAATGTTGACTCCGAGTGTCTGAAATGGAGAAATTAATAGGAAGGGTTCACTCTCAGTTCTTTGGAAACCAAAATATATTTCATTTGCACAGGAGCCCTTCCTGCTGTTTATGAAAACCCATGAATAAGTAGCAGCAGAGGAAATACAGGTTTTCAGTCAAGGACATTTGCTGTATTGCCAACATCCCTAGTTCACTTGTGAGAATGAGGCTACCTTGTGTAACAGAGGACCATCTGTTACCTGGTAAATTCCTTCTTGCAGTCAGTGATGATGTCCTTGTCCTGGGTGATCTCTTGAACCTCGGGGAAATGTTCTTTATGTTGTTTCATTTTCACCTTCAGCTCTACAACCTCTTTCATTGTCCCTTGAATCTGGCCTCCAGAGTTGCCCTGAGTCTTCCTGTGGCCTTCAGTATCCTGGGTGTTGTCTGTGAAAGACAATATCTGGGTATTTGCATCAGGAGTTCAAGGCCAGCAGAAAGATGAATGCAGGCACATTTGTCCTGACAGGAAACTCTGGCAAAGGAAAGGAATGTTATGCCTTGGTAGACAAAAGCTAGCATGGGCAGGCTGGACCCCCAAATCTGGAGAATGGTGCATTTGTGTGTTTTCAATACCCTGCATCTCACTGATTTCAAGAGCCCTGGCCTACTCTTACAGAGGCCACTCTGGGTCTCATGCTCACCAAGATTCCCATGCTCACCAAACATTCGTTCAATCATCCCATCTTGAGGTCTGCCAAAGTTCAACCAAGCTTATCCTTGGTGCTTCATGAAGCACAAGATTTTGGGTCATTTTTATGAAGACAGGGATAGGAAGAGCCAGGTCGTCTCACCAGAGCAAGTCCCGGCCCAGGCAAGACAGTGGTTTTCATGTTTTCACTCTTGGATGATTGCTTATGAGGACTAGTCAGCTGGGAGGAGGGGGAATGGAACTCAGAGTGAAGGAACTATGGTAATAAGAACCCCAAATAGGTCCAAATGATGACCTGAGCACAAACGTGAGTGAATCCCTGAGAACGTAGTGTACAACTTGAGTTACATGTCCTGAGGCATCACCATGACTGTTTGCACATATGGGTTCCTACCCAAACCCTGATAGGTAAAACAGAGGAGAAATGTAGACATGACCATTATACTGGTGAGTGCTTTCTCACATTGTCTCTCTGTCTCTGTCTCTGTTTCAAGCAAGTTCCCTAGAGCAAAAGTAAAAAGCCACAGATCCTCAAAGAATATTCTTTGTGTGTAAACATTAGCAAGATCTTGGAAGGTAAGAGCAAATTGAACAATAGAAGTTGTGTCAGATACTGTCTATGTGATAAGGCATGGCAGAGATGGTGAGGATACCCCTGGTTTGTTCACACTGCATTGATTCTAACACTGTACATTGGCCAGTAAGTGCCTGGTCGCAGGCAGTGTGGCCAGACGCTAGAAACAGTGTGAAGTCACCTCACATGACTATCTGTGCTTACAACTCGTAGAGTTGGACTCCAACTGAGGTGGCTATACAGGGCCTATGTGGGTAGAGATAGCTCTCTTCCCAGACAGAAGGCTGCACACAAACAATATAGAGGCTCCCTGCCAGAGCAGTGGGAGCTTTATTCTTATGAGAATACTCACTTGTCACTTCCACAGTAGAGTTTGCCTGACTCACAGCAGAGCGGCAAACTTGTGTGTCAAGAGACAGGTCAGCACCAGAAAATTCAGCATCATAAGAAATGGTCAAATTCCCTTCATCAGTGGTGTTCATTGTGAAGGGACTCCCTTCCTCCTTTTCAGGTGGCGGCTCAGTTCTGAACATATTAGCATGAGAACCAGATTTTAAACATGGAAGAATAGGAGGTGACACTTTTGTGGTGATTCCTAATTGGAATCAGAGAAGGCAGAAGAGTTGGCTTTTCAAGGGACAACCAGACCATTCACAAGTGACTAGGAGAGAGGGTAGAGTGGGTAGCTGCAATGGGGATTTGTTGGGGGAAGAGAGAGGGGCATGGAAATCAGCAAGTGCTCCCGGCCATTGGACCTGCACATGAGGAAGCAGAATCCAATTCTCCTGTATGGAACAGTCACAAAAGAAAACCCACACAGAAGCCATTAGAAAGCAATAGGTCCAAACCCAGTGCAATTCTGTTCAACTTTATAGGGACCCAGTGGGTTAAGGCTGCTGAGGCATTGCTACCTCACAGAGATCATGTGCCCGTTCTACTTTATTCTCTCCATTTTGTGATTCAAAAGGGATTGTCAGGGTAGTAACATTTTTAGACATGCAATCTCTGTCAACAAGCCCAGAACAATTTGGCAAAAATAATGCTTTTCATTCTGGTTTGTGTAATCAGGGAACTGGTGGCATTGCAGGATGGAGGAAATCCATGAGATTTACTCTGCATATCTGAATTTGAGAAATTAATAGAATGCTTTCACTCTCTCCCCTCTGGACTGAAATAGCCATATCCACAGAATCCCTTCCTTCTGCTCATGGACATCCATGAATGAGGAACAGCAGGCTAAATACAGGTTCCCAAGCCAGGGCATTGGCTGTCTTGCTAAGATCCCTTGTTCTCATGTGATGCCATCTTGTGTAACAGAGGACCCTCTTTTACCTGGTAAGCTCCTTCTTGCAGCCTATGGTCATGTCCTTGAGCTGAGTGATCTTATTTTGAATCTCTGGGAAATTTTCTCGAAGCTGCTTCAGTTTCACCTTCAACTCTTCGATCTCTTTCATTGGCCCTTGAAGTTCAATTTCAGAGCTGACCTCAATCTTGCCAGGGCCTTCAATGGAATGGGTATTATCTGTGGAGGACAACATCAGGGGATTAGTACTAGTGGTTTAAGCCCAGCACGAAGAAGAGTGCAGGCACATTTGCCCTGACAGACACAACTGAGACAAAGGAAGGTCCCGAGTGGGTGGATAAAAGCAAGTGCTGGCATGTTGTACTCTATACTCTGGGGAACGATTCATCTCTGTGTTTACAGTGCCCCTCATCTCACTAATTTCAAATTGTCTAGCATGCTCTTAGACAGACTTCTCAGGGCTTTATGCTCACCAGGTTCAACATGCTCTCCCACTATTTGCTCAACCATCCCATCTCACTTTCCATCATAGGTCAACCCATCATGTCCTTGCTGCTTCATGGAACACAAGATTCTTGGTCATTGATGAAGACAGCATAGAAAGGGTCATTTTCTCAGAAAAAGTCCCAGCACTGTCAAGGACAATGGCTTTTATGTTCTAATTGTCAGATGACTGGGTATGAAGACAAGTCAGCTGGGAACAGAAGGTCTGAGCTCCCAGCAGAGGAACAATGGTAATGACACCTTCTAAAACAGGTCCATGTCATGGTCTGTTTGTAAAGGGAGATGGATCCCTAAGGACTGAGTTTGTAGTCTTCAACATCATCCCAGGTGCCTGTGTGTGCATGCCCAAAAGGCCAGGTAGGTGACATTGAAGGGAAGGGTTGGATGAGGAAAGAGCAGTTCAAGGGATATAAATAACTTGGGAATATAATTCCTTTCTATTTGGCAGTCAAAACCCACATCCTGTGTTGTCTGACTCTGAATTATGGGCCACATTACCAAGCTTTGCAGTGCTTTAGGTAAAACATCTTGCTGTGACTTGAAGTAGTTTCCTGTACACTTAGGAACTCTCCTAGCACTGAAAGTATATAGGTCTCCTCTTCCTGAACAGGCCAGTGGACTTCTAGACTGACCGTGGGAGTGCAAGGCCTGTACCAAAACAATGATGTGGATTTCACTGGGGACATTGGTCACCTCCACTTACTCCTATTCGAACAGAGCCATCTGACTCATATCACAGTACCTCAAAATCTACCTGGACCTTCTGCCTGTCCTTCATCTTCTAAGATTCAGGGAGAGATGGGGGGGTTCAGGATTATGGATGTTCTGCCATGCCAAGCAACATCCTCGACTTAATCACAGAGTGTCAATTGACTCTTTTTGTCTCATGGGAAAAAGAGCCAGTATTGCAGAAACCAAGACTTCTCTTTGACCAAGGTAGTCCCTCTTCATGTTGTCACTTGAATGTACAAATGTTTCCATGTTAGTAAATTTATCTTTACACTCCTTTAAAATAGGCACTGTGAAATATTACCCTGTTTTTCACAGTGTAACCTAAACAGTGCCTTTCCTATGGGGTCTCCACAGAAGCTTGAATTGGATAGAAGTTTGTTAGGCCAACACATCGAAACCAACAGTGATGATGCATCCTAATAAAAATGGTTTATTCTGGGGGCTAGCAGGAGGAACGGTGGCTAACGTATTGGATTCTTGCTATCAACCACAATTGAGGTCCTACACCAGGCAGCTTGAAAATCACACTAGGCACATATGCAGGCATCTGCTAAATTCTTAGAGAAAAGTGGAGGACAAGGGATTGTGGTGTGGTCATCCCCTTTGGACAATGATTTCTCACTTTCCCTCTCTCTCTTTCTCTGGTGAGTACATGCTATCTATGGGGGGAATAAATTAACAACAAAACAAACAAAAAAAGATTTGGTATATTGCATAAAACAACAGGCAACTCTGTGCCAGCATCAGGAATCAACAACTGGGATATCAGCTACAACTCACTAGATCACAAAGGTTTCCCCATCCTCATCAAATTGGGGGTAAAATTCCCACTTCCTCTGTTGTAGGAAGATGGCAGAAGTGAAAATTATCTTGATGAGTGAAAGAGAAGAATCATGTCTGAAGTTTATCAGAGAAAGGAAACACAATCGTTCATCTTACTGGTGATGGTAAGCCTAGAGAACTTACTGGATTTCTGTAGCTGGTTGTCCAGGGAGTAGACAGTAGCCTCCAATGTAGAGAGTTTCTCTTTTAGAACTCGATACTGATGTTCACTCACCACTGGTTGTGAGTGCAATTGCTGATGGACCTCTAAGATGTTCATTTGTTCCCTGGGATCAGACGAAGGGTTGAGGGATCCTGCCATGCTGATAATTGAGACAGAAGGGACACAGCCAGAGACTGTAGAAAAGAAACCCAAACATATGAAGAGTTAACAAAAGGAAAATGAAATAGGCTTCATCAAGTTTGATGGATGGCAATAACTGTCAACCTTAACTTACAGTTGTGAATAAGTTGAGCAATACTCCACAGGGTTTGAAAGCAGTTTACCAAAAACAGAAGGTTTAAGAGCCAGAGCTCAGAGCTGAGGCTCTCCTCTTGCTCAGTCTCCAACAGAAGTGAGGGAGGTAGGTGTCAGGGTGCCAGGTAATAACCTGCAGTTGCCATAACAGATTTACAATGTGGATGATGTCATGGAATGCTAGGACCCCCTGCCTTCTGATCACCTAGTCCATGCAGATCACAGGCCAGTTGATCTCTCCTCAAGGTCACCACTGTGAGGAGCCCAACCTCAGAAGCTTCTAGCCATAATTCTCATGTGGTTTTCCCCTCGTGCTCATCCTGTAGGCCTATGTCTTTCCCGAACCATCTCCATCTGTTTTTCCTGCCTTATTCTTGTGTGTGTATAAAATAACCAAGGCAAAAATAATTTCTCAAGTTTTCTTTTCATGGTTATCAAGAAGTCATTCCAAAATGTCTTGAACTTTCAACAGGGCTTACTCCTTTCCCTTTGGTTAAAACAGTACCTTTCCAATGGAGGAAGGTATCATAGTTATGAAGGTCCCCTCTATGTCTTATCCTACTTTAAGTTCAGTTTTAAAGTATGGGAAAAGGCAGTATGTAATACAAAATGAAATAACAGTGATTGTTGAAAAATGCTTCTGTCCTAATGTCATAATATTCTTCTCACTGCCTTCCATTCTTAAGTTGTCTTAAGTTGACCTTTTTTTTCTTTTTTCTTTTTTTTTTCTTGCTGTGCAGATGTTGACATTTGATTCATCTAAACTATGTTGGATAACACTACCTCTCCTTAGGTCCTCTTCTACATTGGGTTACTTTCATTTGTGTGTGTATGTGTGTCACAAAACACTGTATTTTGAACCATAGTTGAAAATGTGGGAGTCCAGCGACATAGCCATTATCCCCTCTGTTGGCCCAGTGATGCTATTTTTTTACAATTCAATTCAGGTCACTCAGATATCAAACAGTTCAAGAATCAGAAACAACTTCTTTGTGGAATGTTGCTTCCTATTGAGTTGATTTTATATCAATGAACAGAGGCTGAATTCCTGGAACAGAATATGATATGTCAAGGTCATAAATGTGGGGTGACAGTGAAGCACTGTGTGTGTGAATAGAGGTCAGTGACACAGAAGCTAAGACTGAGACAAAAGAGACAGGCAACTAGGAAATAGAGATCCCTCTGTTGACTTTCTCACTTTCTTGGCATTCAGATGTAACTAAGTTCTGTCAGCCTGTGATTTCAGAGATTCCCCTGTGACTCAGTGTCTTCTGTTCTGCTCCTGAAGTCTCCCACATTCAGGGTACAGCTAGAAAGAAGCTGTGCCATCAAACATGCATATCATGGTGAAGCAAGGAAGGATCAGATCAACATGTGTTAAAAGCTGACCTCTGTCCCCCATGTGCTCATCACCACTTTACAAATGCACTGTATTATCACATAGGTTTTGAGATGTATCTGTGGCTCTAACATGATCCTGCATCACAAGTAGAAAGTCACTGTTGCAAGATCAGCAGGTGGTGTGGTGGCTATGGGACCGGACTTACACATGTCTACTGTGGTTCAAATCCTGGACCTGGCAGCTGGAGACTCATGCTGGGCAAGTATGCATGTGTGCCTGGAGTGATAACATAATATGGGAGGAGAGGAAATTGTGGCATGGCATCCTCCAATATAGGCGATATCTGACTTTCAGTCTGACTGTCTCTGTCTCTCCAGTTAGTGTATGTGCCCTAAAAATTAAAAAAAAAAAGTCACTGGTGCCTCCAGCCAATACGAGATGAATGTCTGTACAATTATTTCAGGTGATAATCTCAATACTTCCCATCATTTGGGTCCATGCTTTTGTTGCATGTGTTTTTCTAAGATGCAGTGATAATCGGAGTCAGTTCACTTGTAGCTCAGAAAGCCTGAAGACATTGTCATCATCAGGGGGCCTTTGCTATAAGCTCTGCTGTGCCTCTTCCTAGGTCACCTAACAGGAGATCCGTTCTCTTCTCTGGGTGTTTGGTCATAGCCATTCTCCCAGCTTCAGTGCATCAAGGGTCTCACATTTCTGAGATTGATGGTAATATGTCTTTATTAGGTACATAGAGCTGTCATTTTGGTCACATGGGGGATGTATCTTCATGTGTTACTAGGCTCTCTAGGTGCAGTAAATGGTCTGTCATTATCTGAAAATTATCTCTCCTCCCCCATGCACTATATTTCCTATAGCCCTATGCATCAGGGAGATCTGATCCTTTCAAACACTCCTTGCCCGAGCTCCCATTATGCAGGCTTTTCTAGTCCATCGCAGAGCTGCTGCTTTTATTTTTTCACTGTCTAAGTGAAACCCAGGGGAGGGACATAAGGCAAGAATTTCTGATACTCAGCTATGACATTTGGTGATCAGCGCACTCTGTTGGGGAAATTCTCCACATGCCTTTTTTTTTTTTTTGAGTCATCAGGAGATACAATCAGTGACCAGTGCTATCCAGTCTCCTGCTTCCTCTTCAAGAAGCTGAGCCTCTAGGTGTCTGCCATTGATGCTGTCACTGAAATATGATCTTGGCTCAATCTGTGTTGAAGATATGTAAGCTCTTTTTTTTTCACTTTTTAAAAATTTTTTATTTAAATTCAATCATATTATTTAGCTTACAAAGTGAACATTTCAGTGTGTGTGTGAACATTTATCCCCAGTCCAGTTGATCAGAGTATGTTCCATCAATAACACCTCACCTCCCCATCCCATCAATGCTCTCTCTCCATATCCCTCTCTTTTCAGTAGCCTTCATTAACATTTCTCTGCTCCCAGTATGTAAGTGGCACACTGCTTTACCCCAGGGGCACAGTAAATGTCTTCATTGAGCTCAACTAATATAAAAACCAAGTTTGCTTGAGACGTACAGATGGTATATTTTACACAGTATAAGAGGGAAACAGAAAAGCAAAATGGGATTATAAGTAATCCTATTCTGGACTATGAAAGCTCTTGCGTTCATCAAGTATGCAAATATTAAAAGGTTAAGATTTTAGCCCCATATCCGTCTATTTCACTGTAAACATGGGGTCTTGTTTAATTCTTTTTAGCAATTTGAAGATAGAATACCAGTTCCATGATGGTGGGCAGTATAAATTTTGATTAGTGGAAAGGACTATGAAGTCTGGAAAGTATGTAACTGATCCATAGAAACAGAGAACATTATGTTCTCTTTGGCAAACATCAGATTACAAGTCATACTAAACTTGACTCCTCAAATTTCCAGCTGGCCAGGACATACTCATTGGCTCCACCGTTTCCTCTGGGAACCTTGATGCTATTGACTTTGAGTAAACATGATGTCCGGGTGCCTTAACTATGGCCTCTTCTAGCTCAGATCTTCAAGGTCCATGTGGGACCTTCTGACTGTTCTGCATCCTCTGAGGTTCAGGGAGAGACAGAAGGTGGGACAGGGTATTTCTGCTATGTCCAGAAATACCCTTTATTTTCTCACAAAAGAAGTATCAAAAGACTTCTTTGGTCTAATGAGAAAAACATCCCATGCTCCTGAAAGCAGGACTTCCCTTTAACCAAGGTAGTCCCTCTTCACGGTGTCACTAAGAGACAAAATGTTCATTTTACAAATTTATCTTTTCACTCCTTTACAGCTGGTACTTTGGAGTGTCACTCTGGTGTTCCCATTGTAACTAAAAAATGCTTTTCCTAACAGCCTCTTCAGAAGCTTGAGTTGGATGGAAGTTCATTAGTCCCAGACATTTAGGCTAATGGTGATGTTTTGTGCCTTCAGGCTCTGCTACCCTACAGAGTGTCCTAACAAAAATTATCTAAACTAGGTGTCTGGAGATGGCATGGTGGTTAAAGAGCATTGACTGTAGTTGGAATGTTGAACCCAGAGCCTTGAAAATTATGCTGGGCACATATGCAGGGGTATCCAAAATCCTGAGAGGAGAATAAAGGAGAAGGGATGTCAGCAAGGCCCATCCCACTTGCTTAGAGGGAGTGATTTCTCCTTTCCTATCTCTCTGTCTCTGTCTCCTCTAAACTCATGTGCTCTGTGAGAAAAACCTTAAAAATTTTTTTTTCAAAAAGCCTGGTATGTAATAACAACAGGCAGTTCTGTGCCCACAACAGAAACCGGTAATTGCAGTTTCAGCCCTTGTCCCATCCTACAACTCACTAAAATCTTGCAAGTTTCCCCATTGATCCAATTGTGGGTAAAATCCCCACTCCCTCCATTCGAGGAGTATGACAGAATACAGTTTATCTTGATGAGGAGAAGAGAAGAATCATGTCTGAAGTTTATCAGAAAGAGGACAGGCTATCATTCATTGCACTGGTTATGGTGACCCCAGCGAACTTACTGGATTTCGGCAGCTGGTTGGCCAGTGAGTAGGCAGTAGCCGCCAATT